GTCAGCTTGATATTCCTAGGGGGTTGGTGCTAGGATAGAGCTGGGTTTAGAGAGCACAATAAAGGTTGCCTCTTCTGTGCACACCCACCTCACCTGGGGTGAGTCATCTTCAGCCGCCCCAAACCACATCTTTTCATACTCTTCCTGAGCATATTATAGAAGGTGCAAACTCTATGACAGGTTTCTATGCTTAATTCACACCAGCAAGCAATCTTTCTAGTCAAGGGGCTAATTTAATGGCAAGAACAATTTATTTCCCTCTGGGTAGGTAGAAACAGTTGGACTCTAATTCTTAAGAGCCTTTGTTCAGGAACATCTGGGTTGAAACTACTGTAGTTAACAGATGATGTTGGCAGTAAAAAAAAAAAAAAAGGCATTGTATAATGTCGTTGTCAAATTTGGTAGACCTCTACTTAATAATTATCAAGAAAGCAATCTAACTTGTTATTGCAACAGTTTTATTGCAGATTGCTGGTTTAAGACCTTTTTGTGACAAGTGATTTTTTTTCCCTGGAAAAAAGTCATTTCTAGTCCCCTGTAATTATTTTTGCAACCGGCAACAACTTCCTGCATTGAGCATACCGGGGCATTTTATTTTAGAAACCAAGAATTGAATTCTTGATAACTTATGGCTGGTTTTTCCTCATGTATCACAATGGAAGACTTTCTTGCTTCCTCCTATCCTCTACCTCACCCTAGCATCCTTTCCAATCCCACCCAAGTCTTGTAGATACTGAGATTCATAGACTGAGTAAAATCATAAAAATGACTAGAAAGGCTGGATGAGCAAAGCCCATTATGCTTTACAAAGTGGTGTCTAATGATGCAAGTAAATATTTAACCTGGGGTATTAATTCTAGGCTGTTTTGAGGCTTATTCTTGGGAATGAATCCCTTGTAACAGGATCTGTAGAGGGTCCCACAGACAGATTGCAGTCTATACCTTAGAATGGTATTTACAGCTTGATCTGTGGACTGAGAGCCTATCAGGGTTACTATTTCCTTCTACACAATCTTTCTGCTACCCCTGTAATTATTATTGCTACTGGCAATGTAATTGCCGGAAGCACTTTGTTTGGTGATTTGCAGAAGCACTTTGGTGATTCGACACTTGTTTCCATCCCTTCTCTGCTCTTAGTTTATCAGTGTATCTTTTCTGTATCATATCAGAACTCATGAGATTCTGCCCCCTGTTTATTCATGCATATATTTAATCAGCCCTTATTGAAAACTTCCTTTTTTGCACTGTACAAAACATGGATCTTGCTCTGAAGAAGCTCAGTCTCAGGGGCTGAGTGATGAGCGTACAACTGAGGCGCATGCCTAGTGTACCCTGTCCTCTGCTTATTCTTAGCCACAGCAACCCCCACTAGGTGCAACCTAGTATTGGCCAACTCTCAATGCAATAATCTAAGAAAAACCATGATTTAAACACAAGGAGACACTGCATTAAATTATAGTTCTGTTTCCTGTGTAAATTATAAATTACTCATGATTTGTATTTTTCAGACACCCAGAGAATGCTTCTTAAAGCAGCTATCAAAAACTTAGATATCTTGAGGGGGAGGGCAGATAGCAATGAAGAGTGACAAGTCTGAGTAATAGGGAGTGGTGGGGACTGTGGCACAGTGAAAATCATGACCCCCATTCAGAAGGGTAAGTACTTCAAAGCTCCAGAGTCTTTTAGCCATAAAGAAAGTGTGCCTCTACTGTGGCCATATCTGATTTTTCAAGGAAAGCTGTAAAGCTAATTTTTGCCAAATTAGCTTATCATTCTCTAATTCCATTTTTTTTTTTAAAAAGCACTGCACTTACCCAACAGTATGTCTGCATATTGGACTTGTGGCCACATCGCCCTCCTCTGCTTTTATGAGAAGCATCTGCTAATCACACTGCCCTGAGACCTGATTTCCACTTTCAGCATATTCCTACCCAAAATCTGCCTTAACCTTGAACAAGTTGCTTGATTCTGCCTTTGGCTTTTTTACATATTTGATGTTTGACATTGAGCTGGTCACTTTCCAACCACTTTGGGCCTCACATTTTCTTCTGGGCAGTACTAGCCAGTCTTGAAGTTCCCGAGTCTGTAAGTTTATGATGTGACACTGTTGGCAGAGAATCACTTTGTTTTCATCATTCGGTACCTCTCCTCTCTATCCCTTTGGCCAGCAAGCAAAAGTCTTGTTTTGAGTGAAAGAGTTTCTTAAAAGGGGTTTGTGTAAGGCAGCTTAGAGTTCACGTACATATCCATTTGAAAGTTGTAAAAGAAAACCCAGAGATCTGTTATTCTGCCCCCTGCTAGGTAAGGAATGTACACAAGGCCACTTAGATTTAATCAATTTTCCTGCATTAGAAAACTCCTTTCTTATATCTAGTTGGTAAATGGTATTGCAGGAGCTAGGAAGACATAATTTATTACTGTGATCCAGTTCTCTTCTCACCAGTAGGATCAGATCCTTCTAAGCAATTAAGATCCTTGATTCTGTGAAACACCAGAGTCCCAAATCATTGCTCATGGAATATCAGCAAATTGGCCTTTTCATGATCCAGGCTAACTTAAGGTCAGCCTTCTCCTTGAGTTTTTGGCAGTTAACTGCTATTTACATTAGAAAGTGGTTACTTAATCTGGTAATTTGGTTCAACAAACATTGCATAAGCTATCTGATATTTTAAACAATTTAAGTACAGCAGTAATAGCCCCATAAAGGGTGCATGCTAGCAGTGCTCTATGGGATATAAATTAAGAAGAGCATTTCTCCAGCTGTAGTTGGATACATGGGTTGGTGTTTCAGCAAACTGCATAATCAGCACAAAGTCCAAGTCATTAGTGTCTGTTGGCAGGAATCAGAAAACCTGCAAATCACCAGGAGAGCCCAAATATGCATGGATGGAAATCTGTCTGTCCGTTGACAGCAGTACTTGGGGACCAAGGCCCACATGTAGGAGCGTGCATTTGGTCTCATTCCCATCAGGTAGAATGAGATCTTTCCTAGCTCCTCACCTGCAAGCCACTCATCCACATGTCCAGCACATCTGGTTAGCTGTGGCTATTTAAGACCAACCAAAAGCTTCCTATTCTGCTTGAAATAGACCGAAGACTCCTTGCCATGCCCATCAAATTCTTCCCTGTCCTGCTCTTTCCTGAACTGATGACCATCTCTCTCGGCATTGCTCCCTGAGCTTCAGCCTCGCTGGCCTTACTGCTGCCCTGCAAATGGTCCTTCCTGTCTTAGGACTCTGCACTTGTCCTCTTCCGAGAAGGCTCCTCCTACTCCATGCTTTGTGCTTTAGTGTCACCACCTCAGAACAGTTCTCTGAGACCCACATAGATGGCACACTGCTTACTCTGTACTCTTAGGTGTTATATTTTCTACATTTTACTTTCCATCACTTGGAAAGTTATACTTGTATATTTGCTTATCCCCAGTAGAAAATAGTGGCTGAAGATGTCCTTCCAGGCAGTAGGGCAGTTACATGGGCTTTCTGTACCTTACATACCTCACCTATAATATAAAGATTTCCATAGAAGTCTGAATAACTGGGGTGATATCACCCTCCTAGATATATCATGTGGTTGAGGGGAGCCCTTAGGAAGGCCCTCCACTGTGACTCAGCACCTGCTTCCCCTTGCAGTGCAGAAGCTAAATAACCACCAGCTCTTCCCTCCATCTATCAGTCAACTTTTTTTCAAGAAGTTCTTAAAATTTAAGTGACGGTGTTCATTGCAGATAAGTCTTTCCTTTGTGCTCATTGCATATAATTCTTTCCTTTGTGAGTTCTTGTTTGTATGAACATATATGTATATTTTCACCTAATTGTAATCATCTCATTTACATGTTTATGTTTGCATAATGTTATTTGTTGATCTTCTGCTTTAAACTGTTCTTCACAAAGTCATTTTAAATGCTAATCCCATGTTGTCCCAGACTTTATTTAGTCATTGCTGTATTATAGGACATTCATCAATAGATGGCTTTTAATATGTTCACTTTGTACAAACAGTGCTCTTAGTAGGTAAACATTTTTATGCATAAATATTTCACTGAACCGTTGATCGTTTTCTGAGACTATGGAGAAATCATATTGTTGACTGAGTTTCTCTGCATAAGTGGTTGCAAAGATAGAAGTATGGGGCATTCCAAATATCCCGGTAGAGGAGACAACGTTTAGAGACTCATGAAACCATTGGGAGCAAGCACAGCTAGTATAAAATTGACTAAAAGCTAAGTGATGTGGCGACAGAGAAGGTGGAAGAGAAGATCTGAGAAATCAAAGGGTGGCAGTAGCTGGGGAGCCTTGGGGAAGACCTAAAGGAGGTGAGGTTTGCTGTGGGCCTGGGAGCATGGGTCAGTAGGAGAGGAGAAACCTTGGGGAGTAACTGCTGCAGGAGCATTGCAGAGGCTGGAGTTGTCAGCCTCCAAGCAGCCTGGCTGAGAGCGCTGGGCACATGAGGTGAGATAGCCTGGTTGGAGTCAGCCACGAAGGTGCCTTGTCACGTGCTGGGCACTTACACAGAGGCTAAAGATTATTAGCATCATTCTGAGCACACAGGGGTCTGCTCAGAACAACAATCTGAGCCATTTGTACAAAAGACCGAGATGGAGTCCAAATAACAGGTCCAGCTGCTCCAAATACCTCCCTCCCCCTGCAGTTAACATTTTACTACCCAACTGAGTAACTAATGAATCTGGCCCAGCATAAATCCCCCAGCACAAATCCCTGCTTGGGATCTGTGTCTAGACATCCAGACCGGAGTACAATTTGCACTTTGAACATTCAGCACCTTATCACTTGCAAATAATCAGGTTTGATGGGGAAGACAGGAGGTGTTGCCCCCCCCACCCCCAGCCCCCCCCCCCCAACCCCTTGGCACAGTTACTATGGAAGGAAGGTCCCTGGGATAATAGTTGCATTAGGAGATGGAGTGGTTGTAACAGTGTTTGTTGTGTGGCTCTGGCCATTCAGAGGCACTGACTGGAAGCTTTCTCCATCTCATTGCAGGCTGTGTTTTGTGAAGCTCAAGCTCCTAATGATAGCCATTGAATACAAGTCTGCCAACCGGGAGAGCCGGTAAGTTTGCTATGACTCAGGGGTCGGCTGACACTGGTGATGGTGAGAATGCAACTCGGGAACACGGGGTCCTCTTTTTCACTCTTAAATGTTCTTCATTTGCTTGGAGAAGTCCTGATGCAACCCCTCTGAGTCTCTAGGGCACATTTCAGGGCTTGCTTTCCCAGACACCGCCACTTCCGACCTCAATACACTTGGCCTCCAGAGCCCCATGGACATTCAATGAGTGTTTCATGAGGAGAAGGGAGGAAACACTCATGCCAACTTGTACTTTGCACTCTCTAAGCATAAAACTAGGAACAGACCCTGTCCTCAAAGCTCCTTTTTGCCCTCTGTGAGCAAAAGCAGGTAGACTCTGGTCTTCTTTGCAGCAGGCAAGGGACAGAGCTGTGATGGGAGATACCAGTTCTCTTGATGGCCAAATTACAAGCAGCCTATTGTGTACCATATGTGCTTTTCCCGGTGCAACTGAAATCCAGGTGGCAGAATATCAGCTTCATGTAAATTAGCCAGGAGAGCAGGGCTCAGAGGCAGGGGCTCTCTTTATTTATTTATTTTGCACTTAATTATGTACAAATCAGACTGATGAGGGACTGGGTCTGGTTGAAATAGATAACACCCCAGTCAATATATGAGTTCATGCTGAAAGAAGGGAGCATTGCACTAACAAGGAATTTTGTTGATGGAATACTGTATGTATTATAGATAAAATGGGGATGATTTTTGCTCCCCAGTTCTTATCGATAGTTTTGTGAGAAAGGGAGCTCATTAAGCAATGCTTAGGCTTTTGTCCTCTAAAATGACATCCCTGGTTTGTTCCTAGCTAGAGTAAATGAGTCCTTCTGCAGAAATGTGGCATGCAGTCTCCTCCAACGTGTTCCTTAATAACAGAGCAGAGTGCAGGGCAGATCTCGAAGATTCCTGCTATCATCATTTAGGGAGTTTCCATTATCTGGATGAATGACTTAATAAAGCCAGACTTCCAAATGTACAATATGTGTCTCTATGACCAAAAAAACACTGGATTGGAAGCAAGTCGATCCAATGTTTTGTTACTTTAACCACCAGATCAGATTACTCACTAAGTCAATCTGATCAAATGTGAAGCTATTTTGAAAATCCAAATCAACCAAAGGAAGAATAAAATGGTAGATTTGGTGGCCACATGTAGAACATGGCTGTAGCCGTTCACAATATGTATATAGATATACATTTTTCTATCCTGTGTTGGCAAAGTGAAGAATATTATTTGCAGGAAAACTGAGAGTCCTGGCTATTGGAAGTAGCTGTTTCTGGGATTGCCGTTTGTTCATCTTGTTGCCAACATTCGCCTGTGCCTGTGTAGGGGAAATGTGTATCTTGATAGTTTTTGCAAATGATATTCTTCGTGTTGCCAAGTCAGTAAATCTCTGTGTAACTCAGTGTTATCTCTTTATCACTTTTGTGCATCTCTCAAAAAAGTGTCATGATGTGACTGATGCTGAGTAGTGTCTCTCAACTCTTCTGGAATGACTTCACAGCACACTGAACCTTGACCCACTCATCTGCCACCTGCCGCCTTCCGGTCACAGGGAGGGAGAGAGAAAGGCTGTTAATGGTTCGGTGTGAATCCCCTGTCACATTAAAAATAAATAAATAAATAAATAAATACTCAGAGCTTTCCTGGAAGAAAAAATATGTATTTTTAGGGACCTTCCAAGGAATTCACAAATTTGAGATGTCTTCAACAAAGCCGTATTTATAGACATAGATTTTTTTTTCCCCTAAGAAATGGGCAAAAGAACGTGTTTGGCTTTGTTTTGGCTTTCTGTGTGCAGTTGCCAGCTTTGATCTCAAATGTGGCTTGGTCTCAGTGTGGAAGCACATTGGTTCTTGTGGAAAAAGGTGTGTTTGAGGGAATGTGGATTATGCCTAGGAGAAAACATGGCCTATAAAAAGCAATGTTCATATTTAATATAATTGAGATTGTTGGCCCTTTAAATAATAATTTTGACTTTTTCCTTCACTTTAAAATTCCCTATTTCCAGTTCTTTCACATTTTCTAAGTCACCAGGTGTTAAAATTCAGAGCTTCCTGCTTCTCCTCTCCACCTCCTGCCTCCAACCTATTTAAGGACCTCTTTTGTTGTTTCACTCCACAATACTGTTTTTCCATGCTTTGCTGAAAAACCTTGTTTTCACATGCATCTTTCAAATAATTTGAAACAAAGGTTTTATTCCTTCTTTTCTTCTGGTGTCAATCAATTTATTATCAAATTGTTTGATTTTAAATTCTTTTCTTGTCGTTTTGCAGAAGCCGAAAGCGGTATGCACTCTTCGTTAACTTTCCTCCCAACCTCCACCCTCTATCTTCACTTCTCACCACAGGACTAACCATTTGCCAAGAATTCAGGAAGATAGTGATTATATATACATATATGTGTCTGTATATGTATATATAATCGCATTCCCTTGTCTAGTATATCTCTATGTATTTTTACCTGTAAACCATCTCTACCCAGAGGACATAACATTGAAAGTAGCATATTGCTTTTCTTTGATCTGTTGATTCATTTGATGACGCACTAACTTCTTTGCAGGAAACCTGAAAAAAAAAAAAAACACCCCAAAAAAAAAAAAAAAAAAAAACACTGTCAATTCTGTTTTCAGATATGGCACCAATGATGGGAACAAGTGATATGATATCAAAACTGAAAAGGAGGACGTGTATCTCCAGCCTTGGTGTCTGTTTCTGTCCTGTCCTGCTATGTCTTGGTGTCTACCAGACTCTGTGGGGCCATTTGTCTACATATCACATCCACATTCCCTGTGACCCCCCTTCCTCTCCGTGTCTGGTTTCCAGTTGGTAGTGCAGGTTCATGTCCTTTCGTCCACAAAACAGAGACCAAGTCCTTACACTTACTCTTTCTTTCCACTTGCTTCTATAACATTCTGCTTTTTTTATTTCTAAGGCAGTACTCAGTAAACACTGCTACTGAATCACCAGATTGTCACATTTGATTCACTCAATGAGTACTGTCTATCGAGATGAACTCAGATCTCTATTATTTTTTCCTAGCGTGTTTGGGCGTGTTACCTAGTAGGAAGTATCTCGACTTTCACCACGTGACCTCACCCTGTTTTACTGCTGTTTTATGTTGCATGAAGCATGACCAAATCCTCATCAATGACCTTTTTTTTTTTTTTTTTAAGTTTCTGGGTTAATATTTCCAGTGTGGTTTTCAAGAATGTGTTCTCTAAGACACTATTGTTGAAAACATACTGTTGAGATGCCTACGCATTCATGGTCTCAAAAGTTGTTTTTCTCTGTGGCTGTAATCACCATCATATGTTTGTGTTTGTAATTGTGTGTCTCTGTGTGTGTGTATCTGGAACTGTTTCCAAAGTCCTATTCTTATATTTTGAGTAGATGTGTGAAAATAGAGGTGGCTTCCTGACAGTTTGGTATTATTGATATGATCCAACTGCGAGAAGTTACTGCAACGATTTGCATATTCAAAGGTCCACAGTAGTTGCACCTCTGCTCTTGGCTCTTGACCTTTGAGCCCTCTGGTCTTGTGGTGAAGGCATGTTGTGATGAGGCATGACTTGTCTTGAAATGCACCAGAAAATCACGTGGCTTGCTCCCAGAACCAAACGTCCAGCATTGTCCCCCCACAAAGATCTCTCTTCCCCTGCCCAGATGGCTACTATTTTCCTTATGTGTATAGTATCTTTTAAAGTACCATTTCTAAAACTACTGAGATGGATTCGAACTAAATAAGTCCTCATGTCAATGGTGGTTATTTGAATCTGACCAGCTGGGAGCAATCTTTATGATGCATCTTTGTGTAAGTGAACTAGGCTCAAGTATATCGAAGCATGGAAAACACAACTTTGTCTCTTTATGTAGTCTATAAATAAAAGTGTGTGTGTGTCTAGTTGTGTGGGACTCCAGGCAACACGTATTTTGAAGTCCAGAAGAAATGAAAATTTCTAGAAAGGCAATTAATATTTGATATTTGGACTTTCTGCAGGCTGTGCCCTAACGTAGCCCGTAAATGCAGGGTATACTTGTACTTGCTGAGTGAGGAAGCAATTCACTGAAAATGTTACCCAGTAGCAACAGTAGGTGACCTTCATTGGTCTAAGAGGCCACTTGTCAGTGGTGTGATTCATGTGGGTACAGCATGAACAGAGGTCTTAGATGGTGCTTATTCTCTTGTTCCTGTGAATGAAGTCCCATTAGCTTGCTAGACACAGATATAATTACCATGTTATCAAGTACAAACTATATTCTCATGTGAGTGATACTTTTGTAATTGCTTGGGGAATGGTACATTACACCTACCAAAATTTGAGGGGAGAGGAGAGAAATATGGGAAAAAAAAATGTGTCTATTTGCAATGGATAAGTTTCCTTGAATAGATCCACTTCAGTTGAATTATCAGTTACTGGTTGTCTCCAAAATTACAAACATATATAGTTCATGATGGTGAGAGAAAGAATCATGTTTCAGTTGTCATACCTAGTGATGGAGAAAAGGAATGAATCGTTTCCCTCTATTCAGCTCCAGATCTCTGTCCTGACGAAGGTTCAGTAAGAGACACACACCACAAAATGCGATGCAGTTTGGGAACCTTGAACTCTTCGCTGGAGGGTTCTAGCAGGATACACTCCTGTTGGACAGAGCTCTGCTCAACAGATCCTATACTTAGGGTCACAGAATTCAGCTCTACATGACTGGTGCTTATAATATTGAAATCAATCACTCCAACTCCTTGCTTACCATTTTCCTAGCAACCATGTATATTTTCATATTTCTACGTAATGTGTCTGGGGGATTGTGAGTTCATTTGCCAATCTTCTAGAAGAACTAAGGGCACACCTTTGGTTGGTTTGTCTGATGAGAATTGCAACTTAGTCTTTGAAAAGACAGCCATGATGTCCTTTCTCCTTAGTAGAGAGAAACTGAGTCCATTGGCATGTTTTAGTTTTTACTTCTTTTCATTCAGTAACAGCTGAAAAGTGCCTATTGCAAACAGGGCTCTACACTTGCTACTTTTATTTACAAAAGTAAATAGAATACAATTGTATTCCCCTCCCATGCTTCCCCTCCTCCAACTCAGCTAATAGGTTCCCTATAGAAATACATATGTGTTCCATAGAGTGGTGAGGGAGCCAAGGCTAAGTCTAGATATGAATCTAGTCTGGGAGCAAATGAAAGAGAGCAAGTATCCTTGGGGAAAGGACCACACTAGGCTCTTGTTGCCAGCTGTCACTGAATGTTTGCAATTGAAATTAACAAGGTCATAGAAGAAAGAGGGTTATTTATAGGTTCCTTGAAATGAGAGAAACTCCATTTCTGCCAAGAAGATGTCCCTATTGGAATTCTGCTAATTGATATATGGGCTTTTTCTTAAGAGATTTTCTTGATTCTTTATATGACACATTTTGAAGTTTATCTCTGATAAGCTAGTGAATTAGACAAAATTGGAGCCAGAGACTGATTTAAAGTGATGCACAGGCAGGGAGACTTTTGGCAGCCCTGAGAACAAAACAAACTTAACATGGAATACTCTTTTAAGAGATCAAAGATCGTTGGAAAGATTTGCCTGTTCCCATCGGGAGGTCAATGGCAGATTCGAAGGGTGGTAGGCACTAACAAGTCACTGCTGTCTGGGAGCCTTATCTTTTTATTCTTTCAAAAAGAGGAAGATTAACACTATTTAAACTTTCTATGTTTGGAATGTGAATAGAAGACTTAAAGTCTAAAATATCAAAAAGAGTAGTGTATTTCCTCAAAGAGTCTGTGGAACTTTGTACCCTTATCCGGGGAGTATTATATATCATGGCTCCCCCAAAACCGGGGGCACATGCTTCTTTCTGAAACCCTTAATTACATGAATGAAATCCAGATCTCTTGCCTTCATTTGTCTCAAGAGATGAATTTCTTCTTTTGATTCCCATCCAAAGACTGGCTTAGCTGGATCTGGATAGCCACAGATGATACCGCCTCACACCTCACAAAGAGATGATGTCAACCCTCCCACCCCTTCCCAAGAGAGCAAGAGGACCTCCTGGAATCACACAGTCGGTGATATCCTTGGGGATGCTTTTGCTGCCATAACATTTAATGGAGAAATGCTGTGCTGAGCAACCAAAAGCCAATCCAAATTAGTCCATCTCCACATATTACGCAGGGGTAAATATTTTGCATAGCACACTGAGTAAAATGACCTTTCAGTGAAAACAGGGTGCCTCCTAAGTAGTTTATTATAACACCAAGAACAATATAGAGAACTGTGCTGCTAAATGAGAGTCCCTACCTCTCATTTAGTTGATGGACTCACCTTGCTTACTATTGATAATAACCATGTACTAAGAACGTACTTACGGCAGCACAACATACTTTAATTCTCACAGTGACGCTCTAAGTACTTGAGTATTCGTTTCATTTTCAGATGAGGAAAGTGAGACTAGCTGCAGCCGAGTACCCAAAGCCAGGACATGAACTCATGGGACCTGACCCTTGTATCTGCCTTCTTAATCCCCTGGCAGTGATCTTGAGATTGAGCACAAAAAAGTCTTCCGTTGGTGCCCAGCATCTTTCCCCCTATCATAGTAACTTGACTAAAGCAAGCTTGAAGGCTGTAATAAATTATCTCAGCCTGCCGTCTCTGGAATGACAACCCCCAGTTCTCACTGTAGGCCAATTCTTGTTCACTGTTGATAAAGAACAGAGGAAATAAAAAGAAACTTTTCATTGATAGGAACCTTGCCATCTCTGTATTCCCACCATGACACAGTGGGTTTTGATCACTGAGTGCAATTAATGAAGCACATAATGTAAAAAAGGGAAGTGGGGCTCTGTGCACAGCTTGTTTTGTGCGAAGATGTCACCCAGACATTGATGAGTGTCAAATTTATCCTTTTGAATTGCATTGTTGAAATCATGATAGGATTTTTTTTCACTTAGCTTATTTTACACTCTCATATGAATACATATCAAAATGTAGACTTTTTCAAATTGAAGACATTAGCTCCTCGAGACTCCAGAAGTACACGGAATTTTTCATGTATGCCATTGTATATAATTCTGGATTATACAGTTCTTCACCAGTAACTTGACCTAATATGCACAAGGTACATATGAAAGCTAAGGAAAATTTCATAACTCCATTGAAAATGAAATATACTATTAGCTTATTTTGGAGAACTACATAGTAAAAATAATAGGTAATGTGCATTGAGCCTTCTGTGCCTTTTCTTATGCTGACTTCTAAGAAAGACTATGATTGCTTCCATTCCCATCTTTTAGGTGAGAAAACTGAGTTCTAGGGAGGTTTAGTGTCTTACCCACAGTGAGAGAGCTACTACATGGCAATGTTGCCATTTTGGATCCACTGTGTGGTTATTGGCCAGGACATGTGAGAATGGCCTCCAAGGAAAGGGGCTACAGATGCATGTCAAGTCCAGAGCATTGCCTTTCTAAAACATAGCATTGGATTAGCTTTAAGAAATGAATTCAGGGCTCTCTCTGGTGACATGACGGGTTAAAGCGCAGCACTATGAAACTATCCATAGCCACTGCACTATGGATTCCATCCCTGGCCAGGATACTGACCCACATGGTGCAGCAGACCTCTCCTGCTCACCCGCTGCTCCCCTCAGCAGTACATCTCACCACATTTGCTGGTTCTGTTCCCCACTCTGTCTCTGATGAATCCTCTCACCTCCCCCCACCTCTGGTCTACACCCAGTTCTTGTGTGCATAATTAAAAAAAAAAATCTTAAAAAAAATGAAGTCATTAAAGCTTTTAAGCTCTGACCCTTTGCCCTTCATGACCACGAAAAGTCAGAAGACAATTAAACACAGTAAAGGGGAGGGGAGCTGAGGCTGTCTCTCTCCGCACCCCTGCCCTCTGCTACCTGGCCTCTTAGCCTAACCTGCAGTTTCCTGGCTTTGGAGGGATCCCATTGCTGCCTGCCATTCTAGGACTGAACAGTCAAATCTTTGTGAACTCTGGAGATTATTTGGTGTTAATAATAGCAATAGCACAGGGTTGGTTTCGTTCTTCTGTCAGGTCTTCTTGTGGGTAATGGTGGCTGTTCTTGTGCTGTGACCACAGCCATTATTTTTCAATAGTAATCACTATTTTTGCAGTAGTGATCTGGGCTCTCCCAAGAGAATAGAAGCTCACCTGTGTCCTACATGTATAGCTATGGATGCATCACTCTGTCAGCTACACCACTGTTCTGGAATAGTTTTACCAATAGAAAAAGATTACATGTTAATTACCATCCTCCATTTTGATTGTTTTAGACAACCAAGGACTTCCTTTAGCCTGATTTCAAACATCTATTACCTTGAACCAGCTTGTCAGATCTGTTCTTCTATTACTGCATTTAGAGACCCTAAATTCCTTGTCTGTTAAGCCCAAAGCCTCATCTCAGTCTGTGTAACACACTCCTGTATTCAGCTTTTGATCTGCAGAAAATTAAACTTGTTTCATCCATTTATTAGATTAGGACACATTTATCTCTTCCGTCAGTCCACACACAACTTGGTCAGCTAATCTATTTATTCCACTTTGAAATAGGACAGTGTATATGTAGATTCATATTTCCCAGCAAGGGAAATTTTCTTTTGGGATATGTGTATTTGTTTTATAATTATTATTTGCCTCAATCAGAATATACTAGATACATACCTTATCCAAACACTCCTTTACATTTTTTTGTTTGTTTGAAATAGCAGGTTGGAATCATTATTTCCAACAGCCTGCATTTTTCTTTTTCTCACTGTTTGGGTATGTTTCTATAGAGGCTGCACATGGAATCTACTTCCATGTCCTTATCAGTGTCATGCAGATGTTCTGTTTGCTTCTGCATTGGTTCTGGGTGTCTTGTACCATTCCCCGCAATAATATGTGGTGTGTATACATGTATGTATCCATATGCATATAGGGGTCCCATTAATGCTCTGTCATCTAGTGGAAAATTGGTGTAGCAATAGCTTTATTAATTAGACCAATGACACACAATGATGGCCGTCAATAGCAGTGTCAAAAGGTGGGGTACATTTATTACTTGCTTCAACTCAGAAGCCCATATGATAGCACTATTATATAAACCTGGTCCTAAAATCTAAAACCTTTAATTTCCACAAATGGGAATATGCCAACCTGGAAATTGAGCCGCAGAGCTTTATGGTGGCATTAATTCAATGAAATGTGTAGGGTAGTAAAACCTGGCACTTGACAAAAATCTTTGGGGAAAGCATTAGACTAGTGGGGCCCCTATAACATGAAGAATATGGTATCTATGGCCTTCTAGACTTTATTCAGAAAATAACCTCACAAATGTGTCTTTTTTTTCTTTGTTTTTGTTCACTGAGCAGTATATTAATTAATCCTGGAAACCATCTTAAGATCCAAGAAGGTACTTTAGGATTTTTCATCGCAAGTGATGCCAAAGAAGTTAAAAGGTGAGTGCTTATTTTAACCTACCCTCCCACTCCTGGATATCTTAATCCTTGGAGGTGGGCATGCTTTACAGATTTGGATGACGCTGTCCCCAGAACTTCCTAACAAGTCTATAAGGTGTCAAGTCTCCCCGAAAAAGAGATTGTGCTTTCAAATGGATACCTCTTCATATAGTCAATTTCATGTCTTTGGATGAAAACATAGCATTTTAGAACTACGAGGGCCTCATTATGTGGCTTCATTTTTGCAAAGAAGAAACGGATGCTCAGAAAGCTGAAGTGATTTTTCATAACCCAAAACCCTATGTTTATAAGAGTTTACAGTATAATTGATATGTTATCTAGTCATCTCTACTTAATATTAGCTGGACAAACTTACTGCCGAATTATCATTTTCTATTTTAAGTGTCAAATGGAACCTCAGGTTTTTAATTAACTTCATATGAAGTACTAAACAGATTATATTACTACTTGTGACCTTATAAGAAAATAGTTGAAGTTGTTAGGGTCAGTTCTTCGTCCAGGATTTCTTTGTTTCATCAAAGGAAACTTTTATTCATATCCTTAAACCTAAGTAGCCCAACTAACCATAGGACTCTTTGTAGAAGATCTGGAATATTTTTTTTTAAAGATTTATTTATTTGTGCATACAGAACTGGGGTACAGGCCAGAGGTTCAGGGGCGGCGAGATGCTTCACCAGAGACAGAGTGGGGAGCAGCAGGCGGGTCAGGAGAGGTCTGCCGCGCCATGTGGTCACCTCCAGGGCCGGTGGGGATCGAACTCAGGCAGAAGTGGCTTTAGCTTCTTAGTGCTGTGCTTTAACCCACTGTGCCACCAGGGAGGGCCCCAGATCTGGAATACTTTTTATATTTGATTCTATTCTGGTAATTGTGAAAATTTATGAACAGAAAATATGACACAAGTGTGACAGTCAGCCCAACAATAATATTACAGAAAATGTTTTAAACATGTTAAAGAGGACATTTAATTTAATTGGGACATTCTATAATTATTATGTGAGCCTATTGGTCTTCATTTAAGCCTCAATCCAAGTCAGGTCTGTGCTAGTTGTTCTATATTCTTCATTGCTACTGCTCAAAATAACCTTATCGGGTAAGTCTCTTAAAACACTCAGGACTTTGTTTCTTCATTTATGATAGATAAATATGTTCAAGTCACCACAACACATAAGCAAGTGGTAGAGCCCAGTTTGAGACTGACCTTTCCTTTTTAAAATTCAGTTCTATCAAATGTAATAATACTAGCAAATTCTTAGGTCGCATTTACAAAGGGCCAGTATTGTTCAGGTACTAGGTACCAGGTATTGATGGATTTATTTAGTCCCCTCCCCAGCTTCCTGAGACAGGTCATATTTCCATTTCCTACATGAGGAATACAAGCTCAAGTTGGCTGCCTTACTTGAGTATTAAAGAGTGGATTTAAAAGCCAGAAGTCTAGTTCAGAGTGTACATTGCTCTGCTGAGCACACAAGTAATATTGGTAGCAATTGATGTTTATTAATTTATTAATCCTCATCCACTCTTGCCAAACTAGCTAGATTAGGTATTAAAACTTTTGGAGAAAAAAAATGGCATGGGAAATCAAAAAATCTTTAAAGCTGATCCATTGAATGACTTTATTTCTGCAAATTGGGAAAGAATTGGTATTACTGGGAGAGAAAAACTTCCTTATCCAGTTCATGGGCCCTCACTATTCCTTAGGAGAACCCCAAGAACTGGTCTCATGGAGAAGGAAGTGGGGGTGAGTGGGACTGAAGCTCCCCATGCTTAGGTCTTCTGGAAGGAAATGTCATGCTCATGTCCAGACAGAAGCTGGAAGCAGAATTTTAGCTGCACACACTGGGGGCTGGGGAGCCCAGCGACCCATAGATCACATGTACCCCCAGATGGCATATATAGCATGAAGCTCCCATTTGAGTAATTCTATTTCCTCTTGCATCTCTCACTAATGAATGTCACAAATACCAGGCAGTCCAAAAAACAAATTACCTCTTATATTAGGGAGTGCAATATGTCTCATTTCGGTGCTTTATGGTATTCACAAATACTTGCTGACACAATCAGCTACAACACCAGCCTGTAATTTTCCATGGTGTGTGATGTGTCAGAGCAAATGCTGTCAGTTAGGGGATTTCAAATAGATGAAGACTGCAGAAAACCACAGAAAGGACATTGGAGGTTTGAATGAAACTAAACAAGTTTTGTAAAAATGGAAAAGTAGATAATGATGATCTGGCATTGAGTTTGTACCCTTTGCTGCAAAAAGCAACAAAAGAAGTTAATGGATTCTAGCTCATAGAAACTGACAGATGCTGTTTTAGGGAAAGAGGAGTGGAACTATTCTTAGGCGGTCTTAGAAAGGTTGCTTTGGGATGAACATTCAGGTTCTTGTCTTTCATGCTTTGCCATTGAATATTTTCTTTTATGAAAACCTTGGCACATAATCTTTATTTGATATAATAATCGCAAAGTGGTATGTCTTTAGCTCACTTTGACTTGCAGACATGATTCTTTTGAGTCATAATTAAAAAAAAATGCCATGCTGAGAAAGTTATATACTTTTATTTAGAAATCCTTGTTATAGTTTCTCTTGAGAACATTGAAGAACTAACATTACTAGGCAGAATTCTCATTTATCAAATGCCTATAGATTGTTAGCTTTCTAGACCACTCTGTATTTGGGTGTCAGGGAAAAAGGTGAGCAATAGAGAGAAATTCCTGGTCTTGTGGATTCACATTCCAGGGAGGAGAGAATTGCAGTGGCTTATTCATAATGCAAAGAATTCATGCCACTGGCTCAAGTTCGGTGTAAGTGACAGCTGCTCTGAGTGAGTGATGTTTGAGCACAGACCCAGGTGATAGGAAAGAACTCACCACAGAAAGATCAGAAGGGAAGAGGGCAGGTGGTGGGAACAAGGACGTGTGTTCAGGTAACAGAAGGAAAGAAAGAGTGGGTGGGGGAGTTAAGCAGAGAAAGTCAGGGTAGTAACTGGTGGTTTAAGCCAGAGGACAGAGTCTGGTTTAGATTATTTGAAAGGTCTCTCCAGTTTCAACGTAGAGAATGGGATATAACAGAACAGGTGAGGAGGGCAGGAGACTGTAGATGACTGAGCATTGAGGTGAGAGGTTGGGCTAAACTGGTGAGTGGAGGTAGAGGGAGGTGAAACCAGGTAAGAATATATTTTGGAGAGACCATGTCACTCACTGATGAGCTGAAATGGAAAAGAGAAATCGAGACTACAGCCTGGATTTGAAGCAGATACAATTGAAGAGATGGTGGCCCATCTTCCATAGTGAGGGAGAACTGGAGGAGGAACAAGTTTGGGAGACAGGGAAATAGGAATTCATCTGAGCTGTGTTAAGCTATGATAAGTAGGAGACAGGTAGCAATAGACACCTGGACATGTCACAAAGGCAGTTGCAGCTTAGATTCAGGAGTTCTGGGGAAAGACACAGGCTAGAGCTATAAATTTGGGAGCCATGTCAATGGAAGTCCTGGAAAGAAGCATGTGATACTTTAATGAGAAAAGGGAGAAGTTGTATGAGGGGACTTTATAAAGTTGTTGGCAGAGGGTTAAGGAGAGCCAAATAGAGATGGCAGGAAGGGGCCACTCTCAGCCAGAGCTCAGTGGAATGAGGGAAGGAAGGCTGTCAGAACCCTGGGTGGGCCACCCTCCCCAGTGGGGCAGTGGGTTAAAGCACAGCACTAAGAAGCTAAAGCCACTTCAGCATGAATTCAATCCCTGCCCCGGAGGTGACCTACATAGCGCGGCAGACCTCTCCTGACCAGCCCGCTGCTCCCCTCAGCAGTGTACTTCGACAGTCGTCCTATTCTGCTCCATTGTCTGTCTCTGGTGAATCCTCTCACTGTCCATTTCTGGCCTATAAAGGAGGAACAAATCCCTTCTCTCCACTGGTTCCTCCCACTGGCCAAAAGCAATGAGAATCCAGAGGACAAGGGACCCTACTAGGTGGTGTGCAGGAGCGGATCTGGTCTTCCTGATGATGTGTATGGCAGGACCACCTGGAGGAAAAGAGTGGCATGAGTGGGAGAGTAGGTGGAGAGGCAAACCGGGAGGAGGGTTGAGGTAGGAGGAGAAGGTGTGGAGTAGTTCCTGATGAGTGTGGAAGCCCTCAGAAAGTATGCTGTTGAATGGAAGATCAGCCAGCACAGTGGTACTTCTTCTCCCTGGCCACACGCAGCTGCTCAGGCCTACTGGACAGTCAAGTGGGGCTTTACTAAGTAAGTGTGAAATAGGCAGAAATAGGTGGGTGAAAAGAATGGTGCTTGCTTGAAGTGCTATTTGGAAAAATTCAACTGGGGCTGAAATCCTTTCCAACTCAATTTGGGTGATGTGTTCCCAGTCACCCAAACTGAAACATCCCACCCTTAACCCATTTCACTCATTAGCTTCACCTGTTTGTCCCCTGTGACTTGTTCACTTTCAGAATCCAGCTCTAATTCATGAAGTGATCAGGTTTTATCTTTCAACAGTTTATCCAGACCCATCATTCCATTATCTCTTTAGTAGATTCTTGGACTAGACTACGTGGACTTCTTTTAGCAGAGTGTGACTTGGGGCAGGTTGCTAAATTTCAGTCTTTATTTGTAAAGCAGATATAACAATCATACCTGCTTCAAATGATTGCTTGAGGATCAAATGCATTAATGCTTCAAACAGCATTCAGCTTATTGTCTGTGGCCTATAAATGTTAGCTATTGTTACTATTACCATTATTAGTATGGATAGGAGCATCGAGGATGTAGGAAGAAAAAAAATTGTTTTGTTTTCTCCTTTCCTGTCCTTCCCTTTTCAAGGCACATCACCATTGATTTGGTTCTTAGCCAAGATGTCAGTTCAGGGCAAGCCGTCAGAACCTTTTCTTTGTTTTTTGCAACGTTCATGAAAACTGGCATTTGAAGAAACAGAGACTGAGCTACTAGTGAAGAAAACATTGGATTTGGACTTAGGAGCTCTGGAGCCAGCCAAGTTCCAACACAGGATGACTTTGGGCAGGTCATGACAACCTCCTCATTTTAGATGAGGACATTGTGTTCCAGAGACCTTGGCTGCACAGATCGGCAAAATCTCCCAGATCTGAAAGTCTTATCATTGGTTTTCAACTAGTGTCAATCATAAATGCAATTCCCATGAAAAACATTAAAGGAAACCAGGAATAAAAGAGCCAGGGATAATGTTACATCTTTTAGCCCTGGTTAAGGAAAAAACATGTTTATACCTGCGATGCAGCTTCATGTTGAAAGTGATGAGGCGTTATGCCAACGATTTTGTTAAACACTGTTGAGGAGATTGTAAGGCTAATCCAGTGAACTTTGTGACCTCTCAGTACTGAAAAGACATAGAAATCTAGTACTTTTCTTCTAGACACTGTGTTTTCATAGTCCTTGAATGAACCTATTTCACCTTGTCTAGAATACCTTTGATATAGTCAATGTACGTTGTCACTCCTTATTGACACAAGTTAGGTGAGGTGACCTTCTTGTCTACTGCTTCCTCCGGGTCTCCGACCCATCCCAGCCCTCTGCCCCCCTCATTCCAGTTGTCAGCTGAGCTATGCCTCTAGAGAGAAGGAAACATTTTAGTCCATGTCTTGAGGCCTGAGGGTATGGGAGTCTACCAGTTTTGGAATAAATAGGAGCTCTGAGACCCAGGAATGATTTGACAAAGACCACTGAGCCACAGCTTTTGTTTACCACCCCTGCCTGCTCCCCTGCCTGCACTTTATACTTTAGCTAAAAAGAAAAGGAACTTTCAAAATTGCAAGGTGGGTATTTTTTTTTTAAAGATTTATTTATTTATGCATACAGAATTGGGGTATAGGTCAGAGGTGCAGGGGTGGTGAGAGGCTTCACCAGAGACAGAGCAGTGAGCAGAACAGGCAGATCAAAGAAGTACACTGCTGAGGGGAGCAGCGGGCGGGTCAGGAGAGGTCTGCCGCGCCATGTGGTCACCTTCAGGGCAGGCGGGGATCGAACTCACGGTGTAGTAGCTTTAGTTTCTTAGTGCTGTGCTTTAACCCGCTGCGCCACCAGGGAGGGCCCAAGGTGGGTATTTTTGATGGAGGAAAGTCAACCTTGTGGCTTCTTTAGTGGGTGTTTGACCAGGCTCGCAGAGATGTGTCCCACCTCCCCATGTGGGCCAGGTTGGTGGGCCATGTGTTCTGGTGAGCTGCCTTGAGGCTGACCCTCAAAATCGAAAGACAGGGAAGCAAACTCCACGTGTCACATCAGCAAACATTGCCTCCATTCCTTTTCAACTGCAAGTTTATTCAAAGAAGCACTAACTCAAATCACAGAGTCCTGTGTTTGGAATAAAGGGTCTTGCAACAAACATTTCCGTCTGTAAACGTCTAAACCTTTCAAAAGATTAAAGGAAATTAGTGCTGGCGTGTTTCATTAATTTGGCACCACCATGGAGGAAATGTGGTACTCATTTCATTGGGTGGATTATGAAATGTGTCAGTTTTTCCATTCTCTTTCTCCAGGGCATTTTTTTACTGCAAAGCCTGTCATGATGACATCACAGATCCCAAAAGAATAAAAAAATGCGGCTGCAAAAGGCGTAAGTAGTGTTTCTTTCCCCCCTCTCCCTCCCATCTCTTTCTTTCCCCCCAGTTCATTTCCCTTCTCCTTTTCCTATTAAAGAAACACTAAACATCAAGAGCTTTCTTGAATATGTTTATGTTTCACCCAACAGTTTAAAGAGACATGAAATAAATACCTGTCCTCACTTTATTAGAGCAGAGGATGAAAAATCACCACTCTCAACACCTAGCCCTGAATCTAGGGCCTACTCCCCACTCCTTGACTCTAAAGGGGAGCCTAAGTAGAAGTGGACAGTGGACCATAGTAAGTATGAAATGGATGGACAACTGAGACCCTGGAGGAGAACACATTTTGAAGAGTGATTTCCAGTTGATTGGGGGGCATCAAATGTAAAGATGGCTATATTAACCCTGGGAAGGAAACTGAGTCTAAGGCGTTGGCTTCCCACATTAGAGCTGATCTTGTTTCTATTTGAGATTCCTACAGGTTTTGGTACCAAAGGGCAAACGTTTCAAATGTGATATCCTTAAACTGGCCTAAGAAAAGATCTGCACCATAACTGGTGTTCTTTGTCATTTGTCCCAGGAACCACCACCAGATAATAATCTGGTGGTAGTCCAGATTTGGGTCTGGTGCTTATGGTATAGCCTATCCAAACCCCAGCCTCCCCCAAAGTAGCTTTCCTCTTGAGGAGAATAGGGTAACTCAGGATATTGTGTTGTGAGCTCCCAAGAAACCAGATCTTAAAGTGGGCTTTGCCTTGGGAAGTACATGCCTTTTGCAGTAATTATATTGCATTGCCTAATAGAAAGTGTTTATAGACCTAGCAAAAATGATAATGATGGCTTTGTTCTGATGGTGATTTAGTGTTTGCAAAGCTTCTTATGGTCATTTTCTTTGATCCTTCTGCCACAACCCCATGTGATTTTTATCCCATTGGTGTTATTTGTCCCATTTTACAAAAAGAAGGCATTAAGGCTGAAAGTTTAGTGAGGGATTAGCTTGCTGAGAGTTGCAGACCCAAAAGAAGGGTTTTGGGGGGCTTCCAGAGAAATGGCAAGGTTATAAGTCACTTCTTTTTGAGCCACATCTTTGCACGAGGCTCTGTTCTTGGTGTTGGGTATGGAGTGGGGAGGAGGACAGCAATAGACACCCTCCTGAAATCTTCACTGCAGTGAATGGAGATGTGAACCATCATCACAGAAACAATGAAACCGATCTAGAAACAAGTGCCAAGAAGAGAGACCGCTGAAATGTGAGGAAGCTTGTAGGGATGATGCTTTGACCAGCAGATTCTAGAAGGCCTCTGTTGAGAGGAGACATTGAAGCTGAGACCCAGTCCAGCGAGACAGAAGATCAAGAGCTTAGATCTAGAGGCATGGATAAGTTTGTGGCTCTAAGGGAAGGGAGGCAGGCTCATAGGGCTGGTAGTTTGAGGAAGACAGTTACAAGGTGAGATCAGATGGAAGACAGTGTTGTGGTAAGGCCCTGGGTTTTAGTGCAATAGTAAGATTTTGAACAATGAAATGATACCATCAATTATTATTTTAAAGGATTTTCCTGGTGATTGTACAAAGAACAGTTTCTCAGGAGGTAATAGCGAAGGTGGAAGAATAAAGTTGCTTTGACTCCTGCTCTGATTCTGGAATGTCCTTTCTAGGGCACTAAAGTGCCATATTTTAAAGTCCCTGGAGTTGAGGTTTGGTCTCTGGGATAATGTTTCCCTCTTATTTTCAGGCAAGCAAATAGCTGTCATTCTGGAGGGAGAGACATATAATTGTTTGAAATAATTTTATTCTTTTCATTTCCCTTAAATGAAGGGCTCAGCACATGAAGCATATAATCTCCCATCACACACTGCATGGATTTCTACAAAGGACTCCCTCTCCAAAGCCAAGCCAGCATGTCGGGGTCTCCTGCCTTCTCTCTGCATCCTGCCCTGGGCTCCCACCTAGGGCGCCTCATGTCATAGCGACCCTAGAATATGAAACAAATATTCATTAACAATCACAATTATCCAAATATTATTCTTCCTAACTAAAAGGCCATAGCAGCCTGTGTTGCAGAGGGGAAGGTGCAGATGTGTTTGTTGAGGGAGGGCCAAGGAGTGTTAGAATAAAGCAGATTAACAAACATGAACCTCCCCTCACTTCCTAGGCAAGTGAGGAGACTGGGGGAGCTAGCTTTGAGTTGGCAGGAAAATTTCACTGGAAAGAGCTAGAATTCTTTAGCATGCCCTGGGGGATCCCCATACCTCCGGATTCACATGTCCTAGCACCCTAACCTGGATCAGGCAACCGGCCTTTGTAGTCATTTGTGCAAACCTATTAGCCAAGTGTTCACTTCACTCTGGAATCGTCCAGCTCCACAAGGCCCTGGGCTTTATCCTTCGCTTCCTACCTCTCTCCTCCCAAATGCCCTGCTCCCCTTCCCTCCCCATTCCCCATCACTCAACGACCTGAAATGTTTCATGTCATGCTCACTGGAGAAACATCAAGCGTGGACATTCCATTTCTGGAAATTCTGTGGTAGTATAGTTTAACTTTTGCATTTCTTTCCATGTCTTCATAGCTCCCCATCAAGGAAGAGTCAAATTCAGCTGTCTAAGGAGCAAGTTCTCAGAGTCAACTGTTTACCCTGTTCCTTTTTCTATATAACAAACCTGGTCTAATGATTTACATTTTCTCCCTCAGCCTCTAAAAGTTTGCCAAAGGGTGGACTCCTAGGGGACGAGTCATGTCTAAATTGATGTGTTTGAAGGAATTCTCTTTAACTTCTAATCATTGACATATCTTTGATTTATTTTTTTTTCTCTTTGCTGCCTTGGAATACGGCCCCCACTCTATTTTAACTGCACACTGGTAGTGATATATTGTGAGTAAAACGGGTTCCCAGCAGCCCGGAGTCCAGTTCCCCGTGTCTTTCTCTAGACAAGATACTTCTTTTTCTTTTCTGTGCAGTTTCAGTTTCCTTTTTTTTTTTCTTTTGGTATTTATGTTGCATGTAGCAGTGACATCATGCCCCAACTCCCTCATCCAACACAGTCTGCAGAGTAGCCCGGAGCTGGAGAAACCTGAGAGCAAGGAATCCCCCTTTGTTTATCCTCCCTACTCCCAGCCTCTTGCCAGTTAATGGCGCCGTCTTATTTTTCCACTTGAAAATAAGACCTTTACAACAGTGTTTCTCTTGAAGGCCTTGTCTCAGGATCTTTAGGGGACACTGAGTAGGCTGAGGTAATTACCACTACAGCTCTAGATGTCCCCTCATTGGGGGTCAGTGTCATGCTTGCCTATGGTGAATTATACTTGGTCTCCTCCGCTACAGAGCTTGAATTCCTACCCTGAAAACACATATGCTACATATATATTCCTCAGTTGTGATATATGTATATATATACACAAACATATATAATATATATATATATATATATATATATATATGCTGTGTGCCAGCACTTTGTATGCAAAAATGCATATGTTTATATATAAGCATAGAAGCATTTTATAGAGAGTGATGTATTTAATATACTGTATGTGTCTCTCTATATGAGAAAGTGCTTGCTAGAGAATTAACTGGACACTAACTTGGGGACTGTAAGTATCTAAACTACCTTACTGGGGACAAATATTTCCATAGTGGTAATTATTTCCTGTAGTCTACGAGGTTACCTTGCTTTAAAATAAAACTTGTCATTTGGTCACCACCCATGAGGACATACAGAGTTCTGCTGTGGGTGTTAGTCAGATATCTTTGAAGATCCACTTATTTAAGGCAGGAAGAGGGCTAGTGGAGTGGAGTGGAGATTGTCCCTCTCATGAGCTGGGTAGACCTCTGAGGGAGCCAATGTCAGTGTGCACTTCCTCCTGGAGCAGGACCCTTTTTATGACAAGATGTAGCCGTCTCAGAGCCGTCTGGTGTTTATCTTGGTGCAATGTTGCTTTTATGGCACGATCAATGAGCATTGGACCTTTATGCAAGTGTATGAATCCCTGAAACGATACCCAACGCTGCAGACCAGTTCAGTCCAGCCACTCTGGAACTGGGACAAGTGTCAGCACTGAGTGCTCTCCTATTTCTGTGCAGTGGAAAAGTTGTTCATCTGGTTTGGGCTAGTTTTCGGAGTTTGCTCAGTGACCTGAGCAGTGACCTTCTTGGGATTGAAGCACTATTCTGTCAACACGGATGCCACAGCTCCTGTCTTCTGTAGAGCACCCTTAAGGATGGCTTGAGGCCATTAGCCACTGACTTTCATACCTGAAGAGCTACGTACTATATCTAATGATCCTTTAGAATCAGATGGAAAATGTGGTGTCAATCAACAAACACCTCTAGTGCCAAATTCCTCTGCTTCTCCCAGTTACGAGATGGTGGCCAAGTAACTCGGTGTGCTCTATGCTGCTGCCATTAACTTGCTTTTTCTCTCCCTTCTTTCCATTCTTGGAAAACTACCTGGAAGGTCTTTCAGTTCCCTCCAGAAGCTAGTGGGAGGAATTTTGCTAAGTGAAGACATCAGTCCTCATTTGTAGGGCTAGGAAGAACACCCTCTGATTTCCAGCGTCACATCAAACAAATGCCTCAGCCTTACACCTTGGCGGATTTTTTCTTCCATGGATATTTTTGCTTATAATTTCAGTTGCTGCTAAGCTTTTGAAGGCTTGAAAATAATCCTTTCTTCATTGGACTGATTTTAAACATGCGGCGGTGATCTGAAAAGTGTCTGTGAACTGACTGGCCAATTTTTTTTTTCCACCCACACCAGTCTTCCCTTGAATTTGCTTGTTTGAAACCTGAAATATTTTTCCCAGCAGTTGGAAAACTCCACCTGAGCCTCTCTGTCCAGAGCCACTTCTGCCCCTTCCAACCCACCCTGGAAATTAAGATTCTGCAATTGGAAATTGGCTGACAATTTGGTGGCTGGTACAGCGGGCAGATGGCGGCGAGGACAGGATGGAGTCCAATTCCCTCTTCCATGGCAGGCTTGGCTCCTAAGGGCTAACGGCAGAGAACCTGAGTTTGACAGCTGACTGTCAGTTTGACACAGGAAAGAGCAGAAACTGCACTTCATCAACAGAGCCACTCCTCTGCGGGTTTTCTGTTTCGTAACCATGACTTTTGGAGTATAGGAAAGTTGTCTGAGAGTGCTTCTGAGAAACCTTCCAGTTCTAACCCCTGAAGAGTAAACACACAGCTTTGATGAGCTCCGTTAAGGAAGTCCTTGTATTTTGTCTTCACAAATGGAGCGAGCAAGTCATAATGGAAATATTGGATGAATATCCACTTCATTGTGGTGAAGGAAAGAACATGAAAGCCTTTTCTCCGGTTGTAAAACTGCTAGGACAGGGTTCATAGGAGAAAGGTGGGACCCAGGGTCTAATGCTTGGCAGCCACAGAACCTCTTGGAATCTGGCATTGGCCCAAGAACATGATGTAGGCAAAAGAGAAAACGGAGTCCCTAGAGGCTTGTATTTCTGCTTTCTCAGAGTTAAGCCGGCCTGTGGGGGCAATTCATTGAATATAAAGTTCCCAGAGTCCTAAGATGAAATGACAAGTAGCTACAGTATTCACACACACCCGATCGGACAGGTCCTCTTGCCTGTTCCCCATCTCAGACAGCTGCAGCACAGTCTGGGAAGACCTTTGGGTTCCCAAATGGTCCTCTCTGCTGACTGTGGCTGTAGAGCTGTTTGCTTGCAATTGCCACTCTTGACTCTAGGACCTTCTCCTAGAACCCTTCACCCCGCTCTCAACATCCACTGTGGATTGTGAGAAACCATTGAATTCAAACACCACTGTAATATGAATATCTTTCAATTCTTAAAGGCTTTATTCAGGTGTTCTCTGGAACCAGCTGCTCTTCCCTGAAGCTCCACTAGATGTCCCCACAGATCTACTTTGTTTCATGAAATCCAGGCGGGGAAGCCCCCTTTCCTGAGGACTGGGGTTTGGGGAGAGAGCAGTGGGAAACTACAGATACAAAGAAAAGTAGCAAGCACCAGAGGAGAGAGGGCACTTTTCATGTCCGGAGAGTAATAAGGAACTTTCTTCTGTTTTAAATAAATACTGAAGCTGTCAGAGTTGCTCTTTGAAACCTAACCTTGGACTTGTAAGTGGCACTCTGCTATCTGAAATTAACCTTCTACCCTACATCAGCTCTAGAAAAGGAAACAAGCATGGAGAGATGGAAATAAAGTACCAGCAGTTCTGAATATCCATGATTCACTGAAACAAAATGGAAGGATAGGAAGCCAAAGACAGAGAGAATTGGTATTTTTGACTCAATTGGAAGGACCACCGCTTCATTTTGATGTAATTTTACTTTACAAATAAATTCAGAGTCTAATTTGACAGGCAGAGTGTCCACGTCTCCTGGTATAGCTCCCGCAATGGGGGCAAATCAGGATCAGGCTTTAATTGAAGAGCTTGTTTGTGGCTTGTGGTCCAGAGAAGGGCGCTTCCTGGCTGGATTCCACGTCCTTCAAGCCCAACGGTCCTTCCACAAGCTGGGAGGTCAGAAGAGCCCTTACCTTTTACACAAGAGGACTGGAAGTACATAGGTGAAGGGATCAGTGAAAACAAAGTAATCCAGAGACAGAGCAAAGCCCCACCCTTCCTGATCAGTGGCGCCAGGTCTAGACCTTATAATTCACAAGGTTTGTCTACTCAATGTGTGGGGCGCGATCATTTTTAACTGTTTCTGTCCTGTCTTTGAACCTCTCTCATTGATTGTTGTTGCTGATTTTTTTGTGGTGGTTCTTGTTTGTCTTTTGAGATTTCGCTTTTGTATTTGGCGTGAGTGTACAAATGATGACTGGGAAGGAATGACGAGTAAAAGCATGTTTTCTTTTTTATGCATATGCTGCTTTGGAATGTGACTGCTTATAATTAACATTTAATCTTCTTATAGCAAATGGTTTTTTGCTGCTTCGATTACCAGTTTCAGCCTGTTCCTGCATGCTAACAACATGAAATTTTAGAACAATGCATGGTCGCCAGAACAACCAACAATAACAGTTGCAAACAGTCCCTGAGAGGCCTTAGCTGAAGTTGTGTTTCCTCCCCAACCCTTATCTCGTAGGGGGTTTAAATGATCCAGTATGATGGGCTTACCTTTGGCAAAATCATTTCAAAAGTACTCCACCTTCACTTGTCCTTAAAGATGTTATATGTATATATGTATAATACGCACACACACACACACATATATTTAAGGAGTCTTTCCCTATAAATGTGTCAGATTCTATTATCGTATATGAGCCCAAAATGCACTATGGAAATGAAAGCCAGGGGCTGCTGCTAATGAGAAGCATAGCATTTCAGAGTTTGATGGGCTTCTCTTCTACTACAGCATTTGATTAAAATTTTTTTCAAAACAATTTATCTACAGTGAAACAAAAAATCATCTTCATTTCCCTCATCTGTGTAAATAACAAATCAATATTTCCAGAAAAAGAACTAAGAAGGAAAAAGCCAGCACATATTCTCCAAGTTGTAGCCCAGTTCTGGATGCTTTTAAAATAACTTTCTTTTCGAGTTTTCAATGGAAGAGTTTTCCCCCCTTTTGGCCTTCAATCACTGCTGTTTGCGGGTGTCTGGGTAGCGACACCAGGTCCTTTAAATTCTAGTGATTCAAATGCTATAGTGGAACTTTTTTTCTTTTTTGTGAAAGCTAAGCTCAGGAGCAAGGTATCATGCTGATGTTCTACGCACTGAAAAGGACTGGAGCTGCATGATGTTCTGACCAACCGACTAGCTAGGATGCTAAAAGAACATGTCCTTAAATGTGAGCCAAGTTTACAGGAATGGAGTTGCTGCTGAAGAGATCTCTCATTCATCTCCCCCAGTGCCTGTTCTTTGCAATCATAACGTTACCCTTG